CAATAACATAATGTAAAATTAAATAATATTAATATATGGTTAACTATATTATTATTTATTAAACAAAATAAGAAATGAGTTTGTGGATAAGATTCCCTATGAATCAGCAAGTTGGAGATGCCACGTGGCGGTCCTTTCAGGCACTTTATTGGTTGGTCTGGTAAAAGCCGCATCTCGGCTCTCGGGTTATATAAGGCAAACATGGTAACCAAACAATCCCCGAGCTGTTCTTCATAGAATTCTAAACAAGTTGTCCTTGTAATTCAACTTAAAATTCTAAACTCCTTTACATCTACTAATCCTTCCACAAAAATCGATTTATCCGCTCCTTTCTTCCTTTCATCTACCATTTTTATCTGCGTCTGGGTTTTTTTCTGACCGAAAATTGGGGTTTTTTGATTGATTTTGTCCAATATTTGTGAATAAATGGAGGTCTCAGTGACTGGTAGCTCCAAAACGAAGATTTGCAGAACAGATTTAGCGAACAGAGAGTTAAATTTGTGGTTTGCGAAGAGTAATTTCGGCAAAAATGGTGATTACGGTGCTAAGTTGTTGTCTCATAGGCCAAGCAGTGTTCGTTTCCGTGGACGAACTGCTACGTGGAGTAAAGCCGGACTACGATTCGAGTTGAAAGCTGTACGATCCGACGCAGTCCAATCCGATACAGTTTCTAATCAAGCATCTTCTACCAGATCCAGACCGGTAATTTCCTCTTTCTTCTTGTTTTTGAAAATTTTAAAATGTTTTTAACTGCCGAGGATATCTGTGAATCCGTTATGTTTGGGAGGAATTTCGATAAACAGGAAAAAGACAATAATTTATTACCATGTTTAAAGTTTTTATTTGCAATACAACGAAGAAAATAAAGAAGAAGGGGGGAACCGGGAAGAAGAGGACAACCTAATCAAGGGAATGTATCTAAAGCTTGGGTTAGTCATTTAGATAAAAGATTTGGATTTGTTTTTGGAAGAGATATACTACATATATAATAGGCTGTATATGCTAATATATATAACATATAGGATAAACAGATAGTTTGAATTTGTTAATTTATTTGATTTATTTAAGATAGAAAGGTCAAATAAGTCTAAATAAATTGAATTTTTTATAAATGGATCAGATAGAGGTTGAAAGATCATGACTCATTTACTGAGTTAAGGTGATATTCTAGTTTCGGCTATATTTATTATTAACAAGACCCATTCAGATGCAAACGTGAATGAGAAGATATTTTCTGAGTCAATTTCCTAGAAAATTATTAATAGTTTGTTTGATCATTTTGTATGTACTGTCAGAATTTGATTCAACTGTTTCTCAACATATATATAAAGAATATGTTAAACCGATTCTAATGAGACTTTCCTGCCATTAATTTTTGTAGCATGATGGCATAAGATTGTTTGTTGGACTGCCTCTGGATGCAGTTTCTGACTGCAATACCATAAACCATGCGAGAGCCATTGCAGCTGGATTAAAAGCTTTGAAGCTGTTGGGAGTAGAAGGTGTTGAGTTGCCAGTCTGGTGGGGAGTGGCTGAGAAAGAAGCCATGGGGAAATTCCAATGGTCAAGCTACCTTGCTCTTGCAGAGATGGTTCAGAAAGCCGGCCTGAAACTTCATGTATCATTATGCTTCCACGGATCTAAGCAGCATAAAATACCACTTCCGGAGTGGGTGACCCAGATTGGTGAAGCCCAACCTGGCATTTACTTTGCTGATCGGTATGGGCAGCATTACAAAGAGTTTTTGTCGCTATCTGTTGATAATCTTCCTGTTCTTGATGGGAAGACTCCCATTGAAGTTTACAGTGAATTTTGCAAGAGTTTCAAGGATTCATTCTCAGCTTTCTTGGGTAACACAATCACGGTATGAACTATGATCTCATAATGGGAAAACTACGATACTAAACTATTTTGAGCTACCAATAGTTCATGACATGGAGCTATCTATTATTACCATTTTAGTTATTCACTGCTGCTTTTGGTCTAATTTAGGGTATTTATGCTGTTGTGGTATTCCCTTGTTGCTGCTTTGCAGGGCATCTCAATGGGTCTAGGGCCAGATGGGGAGCTTCGATATCCTTCTCACCACCAGTTACCCAAAAGCAACACAATCCCTGGAGTTGGTGAATTCCAGTGTTATGACAGAAACATGCTTGACATTCTTAAACATGATGCTGAAGCTTCTGGAAATCCTTTATGGGGACTTGGTGGTCCTCATGATGCACCCAGCTACAACCAGACACCTGATTCAACTAACTTTTTCAAGAATGGGGGATCCTGGGAATCTCCTTACGGTGATTTCTTCCTTTCTTGGTACTCAAATCTGCTAATAGCTCATGGAGATCGCCTGCTCTCCCTTGCTTCTTTGACATTTAGTGATTCTTCAGTAATAGTTTCTGGCAAAGTCCCTCTCATGCACTCATGGTATAAAACCCAGTCACACCCATCTGAATTGACTGCCGGCTTCTACAATACAGCCAATAGGGATGGCTATGAAGCAGTTGCGGAGATGTTCGCAAGGAATTCCTGCAAAATGATCTTACCAGGAATGGACCTGTCAGATGAGCACCAACCACGTGAATCTCTCTCAAGTCCTGAGTTATTACTTGCACAAATAAGAAGAGCATGCAGAAAACATGGCGTTGAGGTTTCTGGGCAGAACGCATCAGTGTCATGTGCTCCCGCTGGACTTGAACAAATCAAGAAAAACATATCCGATGAGAATGTTATAGACTTGTTCACTTACCAAAGAATGGGAGCTTATTTCTTCTCACCAGATCATTTTCCAAAGTTTACTGAGTTTGTCCGCAGCCTTAATCAACCTGAGTTGCATTCAGATGATCTACCAATGGAAGAGGAAGTCACTGAATCTCTAGGTACGAGTTCAAGCTCCAGCATACATATGCAGGCAGTTTAGTGAGACTTAATGCAAGTAAATAGTTACTATGCGATTGTATCATGTATGTAGAGGAGATTTATTAGGCATAGCATACCGGAGATGACTAGCATTATTATATTACATTGAAGCAAGACATATAATTTTTATGGGCAAGTTTTATTACCCAAGAACTGAAAAGAACAATATAAGAAGAAAACAGTGGAGCAAGCTTGAATTTGTCTTGAGCTTCACCTTGTTTCTTCATTGGAAGATCTTTAGATTCTTTACCAGTAGACCAGCAATTTTCCTCGGGCTTTCCCCACGCAGGAGTATTTTATACACCTTACCCTGTTTTTTCCCTCTCAGTATCGAACTTAATGCTGTTTTGGGAAGTATTGGGGTTTACCTTTGGTTTTGCGAGAATCTTGAATCTGATCCCTTGATGAACTGCGCTGGTTTAAGATGACCATATCATACATATATGTCCCTAACGACTACATTTAAATTGATCCCACAAAAGACCCATATATTCTTTATCAAGCCTGCAGAATCCTTGATGAACATGATCATTACTGGGCAGTCACTCTTGCTTAGGAACACATTGTCAACCTTCAAAACCGAAATGAATCCATAGAAGTATTTTGAGAAAATTTCACGAGGAATTGGTGAAGGAAATCCATAGTTTAACTCTTGAATATCTAAAACTCATTAAAGAACTATGTATCACGTAATGTAATGAACAAATCCCATCATGCCCACCTTCCCATGATCTCTGATCCTTTTCTTCGAACTTTCACAAACTGAGCACCGCCGTAACATTATGTATATCATCATACTCACCTGGACAGACATTCAAGCTGGTAGTAATACTGGTATTCATCAAAATTTTGGTGGTGATGTAAAATCTGTCACATCGGATTTCAGAAGATCAGAAAAGAAATCAACAATGCAATCAAACAAGAACCTGTAATTGGCATCGGATTCGTACTCATCTAAGACTTTTCCTTGCCTTGGCAGCCTCTCTTCTCTCTCTCTCCTTCCTCAAAACCCTTCCCTTCTCGTCTCAGTCCGACCGACCACCCATTTCCTCCAAATATTTTCAGTATACTCACCACGTTTTTCTCCGGATATCGGATCCGGTCTGTCTTTTTCCACTTGAATTTTCCCGGATTCTTGACTTCCATGAAAATCTTTTGGGCCACTTCTTCTCCTGTCTCTCCTTCCTCTCCTCTTTTATAGATTTGCCTAGAGTCGGGTCCTCCGAGGATCCGATACAGACTCTCGGGCAAATCCGGTGGGCTGGGCTGGAGCCGAACATTAGAATTTATTATAAATAGCTGCCCAACTTTCCGAATTGGCTCGCCCTGTCGCCTCCTTATAATACTATTGTTATTATATTATCTATCATTAAATTATTTATTTTTTTACTTGGTGCAAATCAAAAGTCAAAACGCGGATCGACTGAAATAGATTATCAATTTCTAAAAAATTGATTATATTATTATTACTTAATTATTGAAATTAATCAATCTTTTACTTATAAAAAATTATTCTTTTTAAGTGCAATTCCAAGACAAGAACTTGATCATGATAAATAAACAAAACTGGAACAAGGACATCAAACATCTGTCATCTCAAAACCACCACCTTCTTCCAATCTTTTTGTCTACAACACAAATAGATTATCAATTACTCTAGTGTGTATATATGTAGATGACAGGAAGTATGCAAGCTCAAGGATCTTTCTTGTTCATTAAGACAAAAAAAAAAAAAAAAAACTGCTTATTTACATAAAAGATCCCAAGTCGAAAAACAAACCTACTGCTCGTATACGACATAAAGACTGAATTTGCACAAGTATCTCGGAGGATTGGAAAGAGATTGAATAGCAAATAGAAATGAACTAGGAGGATCTTCACGATTATTGGTAACTATGTACAGAAAAGATAAATTACAGAGCATGGGGGGACAACTATTCTCTGATGTTCAAAAGGTCTCCCACCCAGTTTCATCGAAGTCTAACATCCAAGACACCCATGAAAACTTGAAGTAAAATAGCAGTTTCCTCTCCTTTCACCAATGGTGGCTTCGGAAACCACCATCACCTCCATCAAATATCTTATTGCATTCGAAGTTAGACCTTCCTGCTTTGCTGCAACAGGACCCAAGGAGAAAAGAATTTAGTATCAGAAACATCTATGCTTAACTCTCAACAATTACGATGAAAACAACCAAATATTAGTAAACCATCAATGAGCCTGATTATGATTAAACTGAAAAGTCAAAGATCAATGCATTTTCTCACAACTAGAGAAAAGTGCCGCTCATAGATAAACATCTGCTTGTTACATTTAACTTCAGAAAGACTAAACAAGAATGGTTGAGGAAATGTGGTCAAAGATTTAAAGTGCAATAGTTCCAGAGGCAGTAGTGAAGGTAGCCTTAAAAGATGCAGAAAGGTGCATTGCAGCATTTGTTGGCTGGTTGGTAGAGTGACATTGAGGCTTGCAATGGCACCTTGTAGTGCCATTGGACATCTATGCAAAAACTTCATCTTTGATTTGTTATTAGGGTTCCATGGCTCGGGTTTACAGTTAATATTTATTCTTTTTCAAAATTGACCTTAATAAAATAATATCTGATGAAAATTTTAGATGTTTACATTTTGACCATGTATATGGGAGAACGTTTCTATAATTTATACGCACAAGGTTCAAGTGGCTTGGGAACATGTATGCAGACAGTCAAAAGGAGGCTGACATAGTCCTGTTTTTTAAGTTTATCTCATGTTTCAACAAATATGCTTGTTCTAGAAGTATTAGCATCTAGTCAAGTAAATTCAAACCTGTTTGACCCCGTATCATTCACAAGCAATCTTTGTGTCAAAGCTGCTGAGGCAGATTGCGAATGCCTGGAATGCAGAGATTGGGTAGCGGTAATCCATTGTAAATAAATCTTTCCCTACTTTTCCAAACTGGAGGATGATCTTTTCATGCTCTGGTCCAGATGGTCCATTTTCTGGAGAAGCTACCAGCTGAAAATTTTTTACCGAAGCAACTGTAACACGTCCATGAAAATTCAAGCACCAACACTGCAATTGCTCATGCCACCTGGGAGACTTGTTCTTCAACACCAACGGCGCATCTTTCTGACCAGCCGAAGGTCCTGATAGAAATTTCTCCATGCGAATTGATTTTGAACGGAAAAATGGGAGTGATGGAAAGAAATCTGAATTGCTAAGAGACAACTCAGTCTGTGTGGGGGCTACTCCTCCTGGTTCAATAGCACTGACAGGGATTGCATCCATAATACACTGCATTCTCCTGGGACCTCTGATTGTTATACACAGAAAAGAATTCAACAATACGAGCAGAGAACTTGATATCATAACTAGACAAGATATGTGGAGATTATTACGAATGATCGTATATATGTCTGTGGAGAAAATTTATAGTTCATATTGGAAAGGATGCAGGCGAATCTTAGAACAATTTGTCTAGTTCTTGAATGCAGGAAAAATCTTGAATCAGTTTCATAAGCAAAAAACTCACCTAGAACCCAACACATTCAATTCGTATGAGATGTGAGCTACTGGATAGTTTCCAGAAGGAACCCTAGGTGAAACTTGTTTCACATTTACAAGCCTAGAGGAGCGGCTCTTAGTCATCTTTGCTCCAGCATGAGGTGGCTGACAATCAAAGACTGTAAATTTCGTTCCAAAAAAGTTTGATCTTGCAAAACAAAAAATACCAAAAGTTACG